CCTGGCTAAGCACTGGCACGCTTCACACAACTCAAAGCATCTCTGCAGTTCATCAGAAGCTCCATCGACACACCAGCGGGTCTATAAATCCACCACATGCTGGCCTGACAAACCCTACTGAACAGAGCCTGTGTGTGTGTTTGCTAGATTGAGTGATGGAGGGGGGTAAATCACACCAACAGTGAACAAGAGATGTGAATGGGCAGATCTTAACAGAGGAGTGAATTAGAGCTGTGGGCCTTCCTGAAGCCCCACCCTCTTCATGGGCACGTGGGTTTGTGTACAGCGTTCACTTGGTGGTATGTTTTTGTGTTGTAGTTGGCGTCGTGCTTTGGGATTGATGGCGTTAAGGTGGAGGGCAGAGGGATTGTGGGTAGTGTTGAGAATTATAGTGTCGGCTCGCTTGTACACTCAATGCCCACAGCCAGAGAGACGTGTGGCACAGCAGCGGGATCCTGTGGTGAGTTCTGAGTCTGTAAGATCTCTTCGCTCTCATTGTTTGTGAGCTTTTGACTTGTTTTCTGTTTGATCGTGACATCTTGGCTCAGTTGCTCCTGAGGCGTTTGTTAATGGCCTTGAGTTTGACAGCAATACATTACTTTGAGTTTTCAGTCCGCCTCGGAGTTTCTTAAACTTTGTTGTTGTTGTTGTCATGGTTGAAATGCAGGTTTTTGTATTTTCCTCTCAAAAGTCAAGGGTAGGGTTGTTTTGTGCCATACATTCTTTTGGTATTTAAAGGGATTGTTTAAATAAAAAGGGAAACTTTCAAGTTTTATTTTCCTGTTTGACCAATACAAATATAAGTCACTGAAATCCAGGTGTCCACCTACTGTAGCTCGCCTCTGTAAAAGCACGGTACTTAATTTCACCTACAATTAGAAAAAATAAACGCCCAGCACGGCTCAACAATAAGGACTCCCCGATGGCCCGGGGGCAGTGTGTGAGGCACTCGGGACAGTAGACAGGATTGTTACTGGCCTGATCTGTGCTGCTTTGTCACAAAAGTTTAATTTGCCTGTGACTATTTGCAATTGCATATGAATACAGTCTTAGAACCGAGAATCAGTTTGTGCTTTTAAGCCTTTAAATGCTGCCTTCTCTGTAATGTCTTAAACAATATATTGCTTTTTGGTTCCCCTTATCTTATTGGATGTTGTGAGCATGTCGTTTTTTTTTTTTGTAACCTGGTAAAAACCAGTACAGCGAAGTGACATCAGCATCAAATTATGAGACTAAAATAATGTCTTGAAAGCAGACATTTACGTGTGTACAATCAGTTTGCTCATTTTACATTTATTAACATATTAAAAATATTTAAATTCTAGATTCAAACACACTTTTGACAGTATATTTAAATTATGTGGCTAAGAAATAGCTATTAACTTTTTTTTTTTTTTTTTTTTGGTGGGGCCAGTGAAAATATTGGCAGGGCAAGTAAAAATCTGAATCGCTGGCCCAGTAGAAAAAATCCTTAGTGTTGAACCCTGCCCAGATTATATATTGTAATAGGTTTAAACTGCTAAAACTAAAATAATGTATACAATTTTATACAAGTTTTATTATTCAGTTCAGCTGCAACCCATCACTGGGAAAACACCCATACACTCTCATTCACACACATACACTAAGGACAATTTAGCCTACCCAATTCACCTATACCACCTATATGTCTTTGGACTTGTTGGGGAAACCGAAGCACCCTGAGGAAACCCACGCAAACAGTGGAGAACATGCAAACGCCACACAGAAACGCCAACTGACTCAGCCGAAGCTTAAACCAGTGACCTTCTTGTTGTGCGGTGAAAGTGCTACCCACTGCGCCACTGTGCAGCCCCCAAATTCGAATATAAGAGTTCACACTTAGATCACGATTTATGCATAGCTTGTTTGGCGTTCTGTCCCAAGAGAGAGCCCTGAGCTAAAGGGATCCTCAAGCCCAGGGTCCCTTTCGTGGGGCGAGGGGAGATTGAGCTCAGTTTAATCTCAAGCTACCCTGCTGCTAAGCTCAATGTGAACTTCCTGAGAGTAAGACATTAGAGAAAAGATTTAGGCTTATTTATAATATAGAGCATATCTGTATGGTGGGAGGAAACCGGGAAACCCGTGGAAAACCCACGCTTACACAGGGAGAACATGCAAACTCCACATAGAATTACCAGATGGCCCAGCGAAGACCCAATTCTTGCTGTGAGGCAACAGTGCTAGTCACTGGGCCACCTTGCCGCCCATTCTGAATAAAGGTGGAGGAAGGAAGAAGTGGAAGAAGGGGATATATATATATATATATATATATATAGTGACTTGGGATGCTTTGATTGGAGGATCATTTTTAGCTAATGTGGACCAGCTGGGTCAATCATAAGCACATGCTCCTCTCGAAATTTATTTAAAATTAAACTTCCCTTAAAAAATCTAAAATAATAACTAATATAATTTAAAGGGTACAACCATAAAACCAAAATAATTTTCGTTACTTAAAATATACTTGGAAAATATACAGTTGGATTCAAGTCAGGTGATTGGCTGGCCCTTTCCACAGCTTGGTTTTCTATGAGTTTCTTTGGCTGTGTTTTGGCTTATTGTCTTGAAATGTCAACTGTGGTTTCATCTTCATCCTCCTGCTAACGTAGATGTTGGACTGAAGAAGCTGATATTAATTTACAATGACAGAGCAGAGGGTTGCTGAAGAACTGCTGAAAGATTTCAGCTACTGTCTGGGCTTTCACTGCCTTTCTACAGCTCCCTTTCTTCATGTTTTCAATACTTTTTCCAGGTGTCATTTCATTTTATTACACATCACCTCATTTGTAAGCTAATTAGATTTGTTTTCTTGTCATAAATGAATTTCTTTGGTTGTTACCAACATCTTCTGGTGATGTTGGTATATATAATTAAATACAATGATAATGGCACTAATCATAAAAATAAAGCTTCTTTATTTTGGTCTCTTGTCAACACAAGGTCTAAAACAGATGCAAACGGTAGGGATTAAGCCAAAGTAAGGTTATATAACTCTTATTTTTATCCACGATCTTACTTTCTCTCTTTCTTAGATTTCACTCCCTGGAGCATCTGACACCATGTAACTCTTTTAGGACATGCGTTATTAATTCCGCCCAAAGACAATTCCATGAAATGTAATGATTGTGAGGGCGCATGCGAGATGTCATTTTTTGAGAGACACTTAAATACATTATGTGTGCTGTGTATGCAACCTCTATAAGTCACGGAAAGGTTATTTCCATTTATTTTTTTTTTAAATCTATGAATTTTTAATGATTTTGAGTAAGATCCAGCGATCGTGGAAAACTACAGTAGGAGGTCTAATTATACACACAGTTCTGTTCAAACAGCTTACAAAAGATAATTTTCATCAAAACTGCCCTTTAACATGCGATTACACTCAGTTTCAAATGGTCTGTATTACTGCATACCAGTCTTAGAGATTTGTTGTTTTAATTTTAACAGTGCACAACTTCTTTAATAATGAAAAAAGAAAATTAGACTTCTTCATAAGTTGCTTTAACTCTTTTTTTTTTTTTTTTTTTTTTTTTTGATGCAGATATAATTTTCTCCTTACCAGAAAGTTCTATTAAAATAATGCCTAATAAAAATATATTCTACTGACATCCTTTTCAGCCAGGAGCAAACTAAAATTTAGTTTACTGGTAAATCTTGTGGTGGCACTGTGGCTCGGTGGTTAACACTGGTGGTTCACAGCAAGAAGATCGCTGTTTTTGAGTGCCGGTTGGGTTGCGGCTTGAAGGGCATCCGCCATGTAAAACATATGCTGGTGTAAGATACCATTCTATCCGCCCAACGACAGAATACAATGAATAGTAGGCTAAATTGTCTGTAGTGTATGAGTGTGTGTGTGGATGTTTCCCCAGACGTGGGTTGCGGCTGGAAGGGCATCCGCTGTGTAAAAACTTGCTGGATAAGTTGGCGGTTCATTCCGCTGTGGCGACCCCAGATTAATAAAGGGACTAAGCCGACAAGAAAATGAATGAATGAATGTTTGGGGTTTAATGTGTTTTAAATACTAAACTTGAGAACATGTACAAATGTTTATACTTACCTTTTAATTAGTGCTTGTTGGTTTATGTTAAAGGGGCGGGGCTTCACCTTTAAAAGGCAGCCCCAAATGCCAATTCGGGGTCAGTTAACCTGGCGAGCGAGCTACTATGGTGCCGTAAGCGATCTGTGACTTGTCTGTGTTTGTTTGCTGTTTATTGGTTCTTTTATTTGAATTATTTTGTTACTTTACTGGGTTTTTGGGTTATTTTTTTCACTCTCATACACTGTAATTAAACCATCACTTTGCACGTTACATCAGTGAGTTTTGCCATCATTTTTTTTCTTTTAGGTTTTTCTCGATTTTACATACTTTGAGAACCCACTATGAACCTTGCTGGTTCGTAAGCCTCACAATGAGTAAAATCCTGTTTAAAATCCAGAATAATAAAAAATTATTCTGGAATAATTGGCGGTTCTTTCCGCTGTGGCGACCCCTGATAAATAAGGGACTATGCAGATAGAAAATGAATGAATGAATGAATGAATGATAAAACTTGTTTGTTTTGTGGATCTGTATCATATGAGAAATGTCCTTGAATTAGTTCAATGGAATCATGCATTTCCTGTTCAAATATTTAATATTTAATTCTCCTTTGTCATCTTAAACCAAAGTCCACTTTATGCTACTATGTTATTGTCATTTGTTCGTTTCCAGAAACTCCCGCTGTCCTGTTTCTCCTGCAGTTCTGTCTGTTCCCAGCTTGCTTTGACTGAATATGCATTTTGTTGACTCGCAGCCAGTTCTGCGATCCCGAGCGCAGCTGTAATGTAGATGTGCAGATGTTTCATCCACTCACAGTTATGATTACAGCGGTTCACACTCCAGCACGCTTCTGTCAGTTCAGCAAACACTGTACAACCGCAGCGAGGACCACAATTGTGATTTTATTAGCTAATCCGTGCCGTGTTATTTGTTTTGGCAGTTCCGCTACAAGAGGCGAGTGTACACACAGGCCCACCTGGATGAAAAACAGCTGTCCAAACTTCACACTAAGGTAAGACGAGGGTTTGTAATGCTCACATGCACCTGGCTGATCTGCATTATAGCTGTCATTTTGAAGCTCAGTTTCCAGCTGGTATTAACATGCATTACAGGGATTGGCTGAGATGCTTTACTCAGGGTGTCTGCAGGCCAGGGTCTTAAAAAAATATTAAATGTTGATAAATCAATTATGAGAAAATTAAGGCCCTTAAAAAGGAATTAAAACATAATTTAATCACATTAAATCACAAGAGGTCTTAATTTTTGTTCAAGCGTTGTCAAACCTGTTTGACCCCAAAAATCATATATATATATATAGTGTATATATATAGTAAATAAAAAAAGTAAAAAAAGTATTTTAGTAATAATAAAAAAAAAAATATATATATATATATATATATATATATATATATATATATATATATATATATATATATATATATATATATATATATATATTTTTTTTTTTTTTTTTCCATCTAATATTAACAACGGCATGCTCGATCCATGTGATTGGTCCAGGCTGGGGCATGTCCAGCCAAGCTCCTCCATCTGGGTGGTCAAGTAATTTTCGACAAACGCGGGAAGGTGATCTGAAGCTCTCCACAAGTAGCGAAACCATAGAGCAAAACAGACAGCAAAATGGGAAAATAAAAGCTTGTGTACTCCTGGTTGAAGACAGACGAGTTTAAACAGTGGCTGAAACCTGTTGCTAAAAAACAGCAGCGTAATTTATTCTTTCAAGCTTTGTTTCTTCTGAGCTTATCTGAGTTTTGTTGCGTGGTTGTGCACCATTGATTTATTTAATTACAACTGTTTATTAACCATTGTTTATCAAGTTAAACAGTTGATACTGATTACAACTTGAAGTGGCAATGAAGTCTTAGTCTGAGAAGGTATTCAAAATGTCTTAAACGGGTATTGAAATTACGTTTAGGATTCCTGCATATAACCTGTTACTGTTTTTCAGCAGTGGACCAATCAGTGGTTGGAAGGCTTTTATACTGTATATAATTTAATGGAGATTGCAATTGTAAAATAAAAAAAAATTGTATTGTAAGGCATCACAAATCTCACTATTCGCATCAAAAGACAAATGTAAACAAATGGAGACAAATGTAATTTGCTTTCCATTTATTACAAAAACTGCACTGCAAGAAACTTTTGGTTTTAACAAACATGACTTAGAAAGTTATAAAATATAAAAAAAAATAAAGAAATAATAAGCTGAATAAAAACAAATAGTAAAATATTCAGTACTGTGAAAAATTCACTGTTACTAGTGTTGCTGATAACGCTAAATGTAGAAATCTAACATTAAAATTTGTTCAACCCATGTTTATTTTTATTTTGTTTATTATTTAGGCGCTATATAAATAAAAATTATTATTATTATTATTATTATTATTATTATTTTTAGTCTCATTTTCAATAAATGATTCAGTTATTTACTCATAAATCTTCATGTTTCATTGCTGGATGTGTCATCTTTGAAGAATTATTCAGTGGCATATTTGACTGGTTGTCTCTACCTACTGCAATTGCTGCCTACAACTTTCAATTTAACACAAAAGAAGATATTTTGAAAAATGTTGGTTGATGGGACCCATTGATGTCCATAGCAGGGAACACTATGGAAGTCAATGGGTGCCAGCGAACAGCATTTTTTAAAATAAATCAGAAGAAAGAAAGCCAATAGTGAAACAAGTGAAGGCTGAAAAAAAGATGGTGGAGTTTTAAATCTTGGGTGAACTATCCCTTATATATTAAATAATTAAGATTTTTAGCCATACTAGTCTGAAATTAGACATAATCAATGTGATTACAGCGCTTCATTGATCAGTGATTACATGATGGAGCTTTTTATGTTGTTTTATGGAGATTGCTGTGTGCAAGATTAAAGGGCAAAAAAATGAAGGACAAAATCATTGTAATTAACAGATTTAAATAATTGTGTTTTGTTTATTTGTACCAGTGTCTCTCAGATGAGACATCTTCAATGTCATTTTTCACATTTAAATTAATGTCTCACACTGCAAACATTGATTACATGTTGGGCTTTAATGTCATTTAATGGATGTTAGCTGGATGATCATTTTTATTTTGTTATTCAAGAAAAATAGAAATAGAAATGTTTAAATAAATAAAAAAAAAACTTCCCGTGGCACTGCACTGCTGGCCACAAGGGCACATGTTGCTGCTGACATTTTTGTGAAATTACTTTTTAAACTTACCAATATATTTTAATGATTTAAAACATTTTTGAAGGTACGCTGAGTATAGTTTTAGGTGCAACAACAGAATGTCGACTTTCGTAGAGCTCTTCATTGGCCTGCTAATCATCGGGCACCTGTTTTCTGTCGGCCACACGCACACAACAGCGAATAGCGACCCGATCATGGTATACACAAGAGAGGACTTGCTTTAGCTTTGGTCAGCCGACTATGATACACACCCAATCCATTCTCACTGTTTGAGAACCAGGGTGACAGCGAGTACATGCCGTCGTAAAAGAGGTCACAGAGGCGGCGTCCGGCAACTTTTTTGTTGACATGAAAGCAGACCCCCATTACTTGCAATTATTCTAAGTTATGTCAGATCATTGTAACAAAGATAAATGAACTACACATCAAAGCTAGAGCCTGCTTTGAGTATCTAAAGTCGGGTCTATTGCCTTTAATGTAGCATCTGCCTCTTCCTATATGGCAAGATGGTTTCCTCGGGTGGCGTTGTACAGCAAAGTTAGAGCTTTATCATGTTCAACATGCTAAGATTAAGATCAAGTACAAAATAAACAATTGCCATTAGATCATGGGTGAAAGGAGTTTTGCTTAATTCAATATTAAAATAAAATGTAAATAAATTACAATGTACTCCTTTTTGATTTTTGGACGGTCTTGGACGGCCATTTTCTTATGATGGTGACATTCCAAACAATGTGAAAAAAGCTTTAGTTAGCAATTTAGTTTTAAGATTATTTGCTGCATAATGACATTTAAAGTAGCGTTATCAAGTAGCATTATCACTTCTTCATCAGCTTCTTCACAATTTCATGTGACATTAGAAGCTTAAGAAAAAGGATTAAACATTGACTTTTGAATGCACAATGAGCATGACATGAATATCTTACTAAATTACTGTTTAAAATGACAATGAATTGAAAACCTACCTGATCCAATGCTGTGATCCAACAAAATTCGGCATATACCTAAAATAAACAAAAAAATACAAATCATCAGGTTGGCTGCTGATAAATACCTGACAGCATAGGTTAATATTCAGCACTATTGCCACTTTGTTCACAATAAAGTATTTGAATGATGATTCTAGCACCTTCTCAATGCAATGGTCTATAGCATCTGCCTCTCATATATGATGAGATGGTTTCCCAGGGTGGTGTTGCACATCGAAGTTACAGATTCATCATGTTCAACATAAGACCTAAAAACATATATATATGTTTATATATATCCAACTGTCCATATCACCCTAATTTCAATACATTTCAATAGTATGGAGAATTAATTTTAAAGTTATACTATGTTAGCTTATTATTATTTACATATTATATGTACATGAACATGATTTTATTGGAGATGATTTTTTTTAAACCAAGCAGGCATTCAAACATTTTTGAACACAAATTTTATTAATAATAATAATAATAATAATAAGCAATTTTAAGATTTAGATTTTTTATCTAATTTTTATTGTGTACACTCACAATGACAACAATTGTGTGTGTATTTGCAAAGCAAGTATAATAATCAGTGTAGGCTATCTGTCTTTTCTTTTTCTGTGAACTATTTTTAGAAACGCATCAGTAAAATGCGCTAAAACTCAGCGTAAACAAAACACACAGACATGAAACGTATATCTCTAGAATGCTTGATGTGTCTACTTTTAAATGCAGTGAGTGCATGTTGAAAACAAATATTGTTTGATAAAGTTATCAGTATGAAGCCAACGCTATGTCTAGTTTTTTAGTCTGAGCTCATTAGAGCTAATGCTACCACTTCCATGAGGCTTTGATATTACAAATAGTCTGCACCTGACGCGCGCAACAGTAGACTGTGTCAGAAAAAACACGTCATTAAGATAAATTGAAAATTGCATTAACTAATTCAAGTTGAAAACAAATAATCTCTTTTCAAACCGGAGCATGCAAACTCCACACTGAAACACCAACTGACCCAGCCGAGGCTCGAACCAGCGACCTTCTTGCTGTGAGGCGACAGCACTACCTACTGCACCACTGCATCGCCCACTTTTAGTTTCATTGCTACACAAAGTGTATCCTATAACATATAAACTATTTGAAATAAACAATACTACGTGTATGTAATTAAGAATTTTGCAGGATCGCAAAAATTTGTGACTTTTTCTTTATTTTGCATTGGATTCAGCGATCATGGAATCACGAAAAACTTGGCGGTCCGACTCAGGCCCATGCAGAGACCGTTCAAAGGGCATGTGCAGGATACATTTTTTTGAAGAGCGCGGGGTGGGGGGCGTGTTGTTGTCAACACAGCTGATCAGAACGCGCGCGACAACACTGCTCTTCAGTACGCGCGCGTTCTGATCAGCTGTGTTGTCACGCGCGTACTGTAAAGCGGGGGAGGGGGTGGGTTGATCGCGCATACTCGAGAGCGGTGTTGTCGCGCGCCTACTGGAGGGCGGGACGGAGGGTGTGTCGTGTCGCGGGGGCACTTTTGATCATTTTAGAAGGGCACTTTATATCCAAGACTAAAAAGGGCATGTGCACTGCACAGGTTGAGCCCTATGTGTGCAAGTGCCTGGTCTGACTAATGAACAGTTACTATAATAATAATAGGCAGATAATTAGTCAGTAGTTAATAGCATGAATTGTTATTTAATCTAAAGTGTTTCCGAATAAAAAAAAACAATGAATTTCCAATTTTTGGTGAACTATCCCCTTATAACCCTTTGCAGGATTATCCATTTGAGCCACTGATCGCCTTGTGGAGGAGTTTGGGTGTGTTTTTTTGTATT